TATAGGTACTTTATATAATACATAAATATACTTTACATCATATCCTATGTGCTTTACATACCTGAGTTGTTAAGGTGAATCAAAATCAGACAAAGAAACCAAAGAAAGGAACTGTTTTTAACAAAATCATATGCAGAAATGAGAATATTCAAAATACTTGCATCCGTCAAAAGATCAAAACTTCTTGCAATATTGAATTACAGCCTCTTTTTATGCTCTCAGAAATATTGACTAGAACAGTATTAGAGAGACTCCAGTTTCTATAACTTGGTAGAGTAAAGAGAAGTCGAAACTGTTGCGATATTGCATTGCGCTGTTTTTATATAATTCTCGGGGACATTAACGAAAATCATTGCCAGTAAAATTCGAAAAGCATGAGTTTCTATGTATTTGAAGAGAATAAGAATCCGAAGTTCCTGCACCATTGGACTGCCCCCTTTTTTCAATAATTTAAGAAATTAATGAATGCACTATTCGACAGAGTCGAGTTTCTACCTCTCTGTTGAATATAGAAAATCAAAATAATGTATCTTGTAAGACACCATTGAGTTTGACTTTAACTATAGTCGGGCATAGGTATAGAGGCGACAAATATAAAAACAAAGCACGATTCAATACAGTTCTAATAAAACTTTAAGATTTAGTATTCAGCTCCACTACGTATCCCGCAACTGCACAGCATTACCTGTGTTTGGTGGATCAGAATTTTTACCCCGGCTGGCAAATCTCCCCTAGGAGGTCGTGGACGATTTATTGAATACATTGACAATAATATATATGACCTATACATAAATGAACTAGAACCAGACGAGGGGTAAACCACTGATTTTTTTAAGTTAAAAATCGCTTACGAATGTTAGGCTAAGGATAACAATAACAAGGGTAGTCATGTACAACGCGTCGCTAAGCACTGATTAAGCACCGATTAAGCAAGTTTTCCTTATTGTTAACGACTGATAAGGAAAAAAAATCTCAACACAACGTCCACTAACATTAAACGTTGGTCTCTAAGATTTTAATGTGGTTTACCCCTCGGAACCAGATTAAACAACAAACGAATATATTAATACACCGAAAGAAAAAGACTACAAAATTATGAATAAAATAAGCAAAAATCAATGTACCAGAATAAATTAAATTACAGGAATATACACATTAATTGACCATGTAATAACAATCTCAGTGATAAAATGAGTTTTACTTTGAAACAGGGGAAGAAAAGAAACAAAACCACCCTGTTGAAAATGACGGATAATTGCAGAAATAAATATTTCGTCAAAACCGTAGAAAAGCAGATAAAAGCAGGTAAAAATATCATCCGATAACATCTGCTTTTGTCCGCATCGCTATATCCGGGTGTTGGTTATGTTTTATTTTCGGTTAGTGCACCCCCGCAATAATCTGTTTTTAACAGTCTTTCGATTTCGTATCTGCATATGTCTATCTGCAAACGTCTGCTTACCTGCGCTTTTATCTGCGATTGCATGCATTTTTTTAAATCTATTTTCGTCTTGTTTTATTCGTAAACGTCTGTTTTTATTAGCGCTTACCTGTATTTCTTTAATCTGCTTTTATCATGTTATCATCTAAAACATCTGCTTTTATCCGCGAACATCTGCTTTCACCCGCGAACATCTGCTTTCATCCGCTAACGTATGATTTTGTCCGGTCTTATCCGCAAACAACTGCTTTTATCTGCGAACGTCTGCTTTTATTCGTAAACGTCTGCTTTCATCCGGTTTCACCCGCAAACATGCTTTTATCCGCGAACGCCTGATTTTATCCGGTAAGTGTAAACCCACAATCATCTGCTTTTGACTGTCTCTTTTGCATTTCATTTATATCTGCATGTGTCCAGGTTTATCTGAAAACGTCCGCTTACGTCTGGTTTTATTCGCGATTACCTGCATTTTTTTTTGTCTATTTTCGTCTGATTTCATCGGCCAACGTCTGCTTAGGTCCGCTTTTATCTGCAATTACCTGCATTTCGTTCGTCTATTTTTGCCAGGTTTCATCCGCAAACGTCTGGTTTAATACGCGAGCATCTGCTTTTATCCGCGAGCATCTGCTTTTACTAACCGTCTTCCTTGTCCAATTTCACCAGCAAAAGCAGATGTTATCCGCGAAATCTGCTTTCGCCCGCAAACATCTGTTTTTATCCGAAAACGTCTGATTTTATCTGGTTTTACCCTCAAATATCTGGTTTTATCCGCGAACATATGCTTTTACCCGCGAACATCTGATTTCATCTGGTTTCACCTGCAAACATGCTTTTATCTGCAAACACCTGAGTTCATCCGGTTAGTGCACCCCCGCAATTATCGGCTTTTGACCGTCTCTACTGCGTTTCGTTTATATGCATTTTACGAAAAAATGTTTAAAATAAAAATTAAATGATTCGAGGGGGAAATCAATCAGTACTAAAATTGGTTCTCATACTCTCCTCCTTATAGGGCACGTTGGTACATTTGGCGTTTTCAACTCTAAAAATATATAATCTTTTAAACATTTTTTTTTAAATAGTGATAATAATTTTCGTTGAACAAAAGTAGGTTCATTTTTTTGTTTGAACTCGTGCAAATTTAAGGAAAAGTGGCAAATTTGGAAATTTAGTTGGCAATCATTTCTATTTTATTCTAAGATTAAAAATTTAATAAATATTATTGGTTATAAAATTAATATAATAATTATCTACTAGTAGTTTATTACTAGAAAAATTTTGTTATTTTACTGTGAAATAGTTATTTGTTTAGATACGTTTTTCTAAGCCACACAAGTTCATCAACATTTAATATTATCTTATGATTATTTTCTATAATTTGACAAAAACCTTAAAACTATTTTAGCTTAATTCATAATAACTTTAATATATTTAATTTTATAATAAAAAAATACTACTCATCGCCAATTTAAAAACAAATCATAATCCTAATAACAGAAATTGGTTAAAGTTTTAAATTAAGTTATTGAATAGAATTACTAAAACTAAGAATGCAAATTAAAGTGGCATTAATTGCCAAACTAATTAAATTCTACAAGTTCAAATATAAAAATAATTTTATCAATTACTTAATCGTAAATTTTTACTTACCGGGTAGAAAAAAATTATTAAAAAATATTTAAATGAACTTTTGTTCCACGAGCATATTTTCTTATTTGTTGCAGGTTATCTACGTAAATGTAAAACTTATAACACATTATATTAAATAAATTAAATAATTTTTCCTTTTAAAATTAAAAAAAAATACCCAAAAATATTTTAGTAACGAGAATCAAACCCAAGCAACTAAAAAAGAACTAGGTAGGCGCTGGGTATAAAGACACCGAATATTAAAAAAATCATATCTCCCTTTAAAAAAAAATAACCCCTACCAAAATTTAGGTAAGTGTAGAAAAAGATTTGCTTCTTCACATATAAAAAAGGGGAGTTTTTTTATATTTAAAATTGAATTTTTCAAAACTATATATTTTAATGAAAAATTATTTAAATTTAAAAAAAGGTATAACAATTAAAAGTATAATCTTTTTTCTTTAAAATTAGAGGTCGACCAACCTAGGTCAATTAGGACCCAAGATAAAAGCTAAACACTATATCTCTGATCTGAAAGGTTTTTATTATTTTTTTAAACTTTTTCAGTCAGGTCCATTGTGGCCATTTGAAGCCCATACAGCGATTTTCGTCAAAATCAGAGGGGGTGAGGGTCAAAACCTGCCTGATCTGACGTGGAAACACCCATATGAGATTTACGATTATCAGGAAACCTCTCTGCTCACACTCGTGCAGCTTCTCTGTAGTTTTTTCTACACTCCCCCAAAATCAACAACATATCAACTTGCACATTAAAAATATTTCCCATATTTAATTGCACAAAAAAACTTTAATAGTCAAAATGTCAAAATTCTCGACTAACTTAGATCAAAATAACGCGTTTCCATGAAAATAAACAACAACGTGCAGCTTAACAGACTTGATAAAAATATTGAAATTATTTTTTAGTGTTTTAACATAATAAATCATAACTCTGTAGGAGCAAATCAATTTTTTTTTACATCGTTTCATTGAAAAATTCAAAGTTACCCCCGACCCTCAAAATGGTTTTGTATTACTTCATTAAAATTTTACAAAAAAATAAACACTAAAATAACACTTTAAAAAACTCACCCTGTATATAAAAAATATTGGTTATGCCAAAATTAATACGTTTATAAAGTTAAATGAAAAATTGTACGGCAAAATAAGTGTTTTTCAAACAAATTTCATACAAATTGAAAATTATATCTTTTTCTAACAATTAATTTCAATTCAAAGTTAATTATTAAAATTTTTTTATGTCTTTTAACAAGACAAAAAAAATGCAGGCAATCGCGGATAAAACCGAACGTTGGCATAGGTGAAAGGAGAGGTTTGTGATTAAAAACAGATGTTTGCGGATTAAAGCAGATGTTTGCAGATTAAAGCAGATGTTCGCGGATGAAAGCAGATCTTTGCGGATAAAACCGGACGCAAACAGGCATAGAAGTTAATGCAGCTGCAGAATGCAGATATAAATCCAAATACAAGTATTTGCATATGAAACTGAAAGCAGACATAGAACTAAATAGATAAGACTTGATGTTTGCGGATAATATTTGAGGACCCTAGAAGCCAAGGGATACAAGTGAAGAATACTTTATTTTGAGAAAATTAAGTTCAAAGTTGAATATATATTGTAATTAAATAACACTTTCTAATAGATGTTCAATATTAAAATTTTATTACCTAGTGCTTACTTGAACTCTTTTAGATGAAAAAAATTGATTTGGAAAATTGATATGCCCACAATAAACAAATATTTAGACATAATTCGCACTTATACCCCTTGGCTTCCAATGCCTAATGAACTAGTAAAAAAATGGAGGATACAAGTAAGGTAAATACCAAGTTTTATACAACTTAACTTTTTTGAAAATTTTAATAATGTTATAATAATGTTTTAAACGCTTAACTAAATAGAAAATAATTAATCTTCGTCTGTAGAATACACATTATCATCATTTACATCGACGTCTTCATTACTTTGGACTTCGTTACGTTTTGGTTCATTTTCGTAAGGTATATTTTTAAAGAAATCATGGTAAATTGGTGGTACAAACATTAAAAGTTCCATTAGATTCGCATACTTTAAGGCTTTTATTTTGGGTTTTTCGGCCACCACAGAAAGTTCTCGATATGTTGCCAAGTTTCGACCGGCCCTTGTGGACTTCATCTGTATAGTTGAAAATGAACCTATATCACTAGCTGCATTATTTTTATAAAACAAAGTGTAGGGATGTTTCTTTTCAAAATGAAACCATTGCATATCTCTTATTCCTTGAACCGCTTTCTTAAAATATGGAAAAAGGGTACATACATTAACAAAATCTTCATCTTGCATCGTTACTACCATAAACTTGCGGCAAGAAGATGCAATTAGATTTGCCCAATGTTCGGGAACATACAGATCTGTCAGAACTTTTTTCTTTCTAAGCTCTACCAGGCCAAAATCCTGGTCGCATTCATTATAAGAGTGTCCCGAAATTAAAAATCTGTGATCAACACTTTCAATGTGTGTATTTTTTATAATATAGAGCCAAAATTTAACAATAATATGGCTCTTATTCTGCCCACCACAATTATCGCTAAAAGCAGTTATGTGCTTCACATGATGAGGAAGGGTTTTAATAAATTTTAGCAAGCAGGATGCAATTTCCTGACATCCTCGCGAAGCTTGTCCTTCATACCAGACAAACATCTGTGCATTTCCCGTTGTGAGATTGTGTATATTTAGGTTGTATGTCCAAAGCTGTCTGTAATAATATGCTTTAGAATTTGACAGGTTAGGTGTTGGCATAGTCTTTTGTAAATCAAAACATATAGCCACTTTAGTTTCGTCATCATTATGATGCCATTCATCTTTAGCTTGTCTGGCTGCAGCTGCTTTGCGTAGATGCAACTCTTTTTGAATTTCTGCCTGTCGTTTTACTTCCAAATCATTTTCATGATCGATAATAACTTGAAATTTGTCACACGTTATACAAGTATCTGTGTTTGGTCGATGAAAACTCAAGTTAAATTGAGTGTTAAATATATGTCTATAAAAACTTTCTTTAACTGGCTCTGTATACTTTACATCCTGACAAAAACTGACATACAGTTTGTACATTGTCTTCAAATCGAGTCTTGGGTTCAAGTATTTTTTTGTAACGTGTTTTGATCTTGAATAATGACTTGAATAACGTGGAAATGAATTTATATGCTCCTTAATGATATCAACACGTTCTTTAGAAATTTTATTGCTGGGCTCCTTTTTCCCTCTTTTATCACGAGGGCTTACACCAGATATAAGATCTTTTTTTTTGTTGACCAAGTTCTGTATCCGTTTATTGGAAACATCAAGAGTTTTCATAAAAAATTCTTTGCACACTCTAAACTCTCTAAGTTTGTACAGACAAGAAATATTTTTGTTGGTAATTGCGGCTTGATTTTTCCTCTTTACAGGCTCTAACGCAATAGCTCCGTTTAGAAAGGAAGTTTGCAACTCCCAAGATCCAAGTTTCCAGAAGTCGTCAAATAGAGCTTGACGATTTTGTTCAGAAATATTATTATTACAGTTGTACCTGCATCGATGGTTGTACTCTCGAAGCATCTTTGGTCCATGTACCTTTTGTTTGCGATCTACGTACATCTTTCCCTCGTTCCTTAATTTTTTTGCTCTTTCTCTTTTCCACATTGAAGTTCGGCGAACTCTTTTTTTTCCGGTCTGACGTTCAATTTGATTGGCGTTTTCAGGATGGTTTTCATTATTTTCAGATGAGTCGTCAGAGGAACTATTTTCGTTTTCCGGGTTATAATCAATGTCTACATCTGAATAGTCTCCATCACTAAATATTGTACCTTCTTCATCTGTAATGTAAAATGAAAATAATTCTAACCTAGTTCAACACTTCGCAATTTTCGTTACATGCTTAAAAAATCACGCGTACATACACTAGTCCAAATTTTTATATTACATGCTCCATTTAATAGGTGTCAAAGTTTAAACTTTTGTGAATTAAACAACATTTAATAATATTATATAATAGAAAACTATTAGATTACTATTATATAATAAAAAACTATTACATGCTTTCATATAATTTTAAATTGCATCATAAAATTGCAAACTGTAAAACCTAACTTACCATTATTGTTTGTTGTTGAGGTTAAGAATTCATTTTCATTTTCGTTTGCCATCATACATAAATATATTTTTTTTAAAACAGTGTTTTATAATTATAACAACTACCTACTTAAAGGTTGCTAACATAAAACAGTTACAGCTACTGCCGGCACCTTTTATCAGCTTGATTTCAAAACGAAACTGAAATATCACAGTTGTTTGGCGCACAAGGGATATAAGTGCGCCTAAGCCCACTTATATCCCTTGTGCGCCAAACATAAGGAGAATATCGGAAAGTAGTTAAGTGATTTGGTAAAAGATGCCAGCACAGGTTACAAATTCAGTTTTATCCCTTTGCCAACAAATAAATGGATATATATAGAAACCACCTATGCACTTAACTCCAATTTTACAAAATTGTCACTTATATCCCTTGGCTTCTAGGGTTTCCATGAAAATAAACAACGTTTCCATGAAAATAAACAACAATAAATCATAACTCTGTAGGAGCAAATCAATTTTTTTTTACATCGTTTCATTGAAAAATTCAAAGTTACCCCCGACCCTCAAAATGGTTTTGTATTACTTCATTAAAATTTTACAAAAAAATAAACACTAAAATAACACTTTAAAAAACTCACCCTGTATATAAAAAATATTGGTTATGCCAAAATTAATACGTTTATAAAGTTAAATGAAAAATTGTACGGCAAAATAAGTGTTTTTCAAACAAATTTCATACAAATTGAAAATTATATCTTTTTCTAACAATTAATTTCAATTCAAAGTTAATTATTAAAATTTTTTTATATGTCTTTTAACAAGACAAAAAAAATGCAGGCAATCGCGGATAAAACCGAACGTTGGCATAGGTGAAAGGAGAGGTTTGTGATTAAAAACAGATGTTTGCGGATTAAAGCAGATGTTTGCAGATTAAAGCAGATGTTCGCGGATGAAAGCAGATCTTTGCGGATAAAACCGGACGCAAACAGGCATAGAAGTTAATGCAGCTGCAGAATGCAGATATAAATCCAAATACAAGTATTTGCATATGAAACTGAAAGCAGACATAGAACTAAATAGATAAGACTTGATGTTTGCGGATAATATTTATACCCGCAGTTGTAGATGAAAACCGACATGCCAGGTAAGATATGTCTAATAAAAACAGATATAAATGGACATAAAACTAGCTTAAGTTAAAGATGAACTGAAAAATTTAATTGCTAAAAAAATATTTTAACATTTAAAGAGCTACAGGAAATAATACAAACAAAAAATACACAGTAAAAATGTGTTTACTCAAATCATGAGGGCTGGATAACCAAAGAGTAAAAGAAATTATAAGAAACAAAAAAAATGAACAACTTAAATTAGATGTTAATAGCAAACAAATTTAATTTAAAAAACTAATAAAAAAATTATACCAAACAAGTTAAGGCAAATAATGCAAAAAGAAACAAATAAAATTAAATTAATGAAATTAAAGACGGAGAGAAAATAGTAAACAATAAAAAACATTGTAGAAGAACTTAACAAATACTGCACTGAAATTTAAAAAAACTAGCAAGCAGTGTACAATGGAGGACAAGACATACCTAACAAAAGCGTTTGTGTGAAGTTATCCACACATCTCCTGCCACACACTCCTAAACAGGTTTGCGGTCGGCCGCTAGAGCTCGCAGCGCACAGTGGGTTAATTATTTATAAAATTGTGTATAGTTCTAATTTAATATCTTTTAACAGCAATTTGTCAAGCTCGCGATTAAAAATTAAGATTTAAATACAACTAGACACAGGGACATAGAGACAAAAATGTATTAGTTTCTATATTTATATCTATGTTAATAGCGGTTTGCAAGGGCATGGGGCAAAACACCTCAAGTGTTCCCACCTAAAAATGATGTTGTCTCCGATTTTAACAAAACTTTGCCAAATAATTGTCCTATTGGACTACCTTAATTTTCCAAATGGGGGGCAAAAAAGATTAGCTGGTTGCAGAGATACAGGGGCCTGAAAATTTATTTTTTTTCTCTTGCTCTTAAAAGACGTCGAAATATTCATGTGTATAATAGTTTTTTTTAAATTGATAATCAACATATCGTATAGCATTTTTTCCACGCTTTACGATAAAAATGGTCTCGAAAGCGAGAAAAAATTTTTTGGTTATAAAAAACGATTTTAAAAATATATTTGTTCTTTTCTCGAAGTGCGACACATTGGATTTAAAAAAAATTAATATCAAAAGAAAGCTTTTTCAATTCCCTAAATTTTGATGTAATATGAAGATGGGATCCCAAGAATAAGTCCAAAAAATAAGGGTTGAAGCGCGTAGGGACCGTGCGGCGAGCAGCTACTATAGTATACCTATTGCAGCGGTGCTTGGTATACTACTTAGTGGATTAATTGGAGAGGGTCAATAAAACTTTTAAAATTATTTTTATATAGAAATAAATGTATTTTTCGATGGGTTTAAGTCAAAACAGCACAAGCACCCAATTTTTTTTTTTTAGAAGAAGGTCGATAGAGAATTTAATTCTCTATCGACCTGCAGGTACATGTACTTCTAACAAATTTAAAATTTTTGGCGCTTGTGTCGTTTTGCCTTAAACTCATCAATTTTATTGCAATAGTTCAAATTAATAGCAATTAAAACCCATGTTTTGGTTTTTGTAGTCGAAAAAGAAAAATGTAGAAAGTAATAAGTTGCTCTTACTCTGAATAAATTACACGTGCACGTAAATGTAAATAAGTTCTACTATTTAATGCAATTGCAAGTGTCTCACAATTATAATAAACATTTTTCATGTAAACTTTTTATTGAACATTTTACCTATTTTTTATTTTTGGGAAAAATATCATATTCGTTAGCAAACGATATTTTTTTTAAGTACAAAATTCCTTTTCTGTTAGGAACAAATGAGTGATATTTCTGTGTCCCAGGAATTGATTTTGTAGAATCAAATCGCTTTTTAAGAATAATTTACAAACTGGAGAATTTCTTGTATTGTGCGACTTCGCTGAAAATTACGCATTTTTAGTACAAAATGAGGCTCAGTCATTTCATTGGAATAATGACCAAGTTATGATTTTCACAACCGTCATTTATTACAAGGAAAATGAAAAACTTCATTATTTTAGTGCAGCAATTTTATCGGATTGCCTAAAGCATGACACTGTCGCAGTTTATGAATTTCAGAAAATTTTGATGAATTATTTAAAACAAAATTTTATACCTAAAAAATGTTTTTATTTTACTGATGGCGCCGCACAACATTTCAAAAACAAGTACAACTTTAAAAATCTTATGCAATATGAAACAGATTTTGGTATTTTAGCCGAGTGGCACTTTAATGCAACAGCACACGGTAAAGGCCTCTGTGATGGCATTGGTGGGAATTTAAAAAGAATCGCTGCCCGCGCAAGTTTGCAGGCAAAATCAAAAAATCAAATTCTAGATGCCAAAGATTTGTATGAATGGGCTCAAAAAAGTTGGAAAGAAACAAAAGTATTTATCATTCTGAAAAATTTATGAAAACAGCAGAAATTCTTTAAAAGCAATTTGATTCTGCAAAATCAATTCCTGGGACACAGAAATATCACACATTTGTTCCTAACGGAAAAGGAATTTTGTACTTTTCCCAAAAATAAAAATAGGTAAAATGTTCAATAAAAAGTTTACATGAAAAATGTGTATTATTATTGTGAGACAATTGCATTAAATAGTAGAACTTATTTACATTTACGTGCACGTGTAATTTATTCAGAGTAAGAGCAACTTATTACTTTCTACATTTTTCTTTTTCGACTACAAAAACCAAAACATAGGTTTTAATTGCTATTAATTTGAACTATTGCAATAAAATCGATGAGTTTAAGGCAAAACGACACAAGCGTCAAAAATTTTAAAATTGTTAGAAGTAAATGTACCTGCAGGTCGATAGAGAATTAAATTAAATCAAGACCTTCTTCTAAAAAAAAAAAATTTGGCGCTTGTGCTGTTTTGACTTAAACCCATCGAAAAATACATTTATTTATATATAAAAATAATTTTAAAAGTTGTATTGACCTGACCCTCTCCAATTAATCCACTAAGTAACATACTACTACTACGGTCTATAGACCGAGCACCGCTGCAATAGGTATACCATTATAGTAGCTGCTCGCCGCACAGTCCCTACGCGCTTCAACCCTTATTTTTTTCGACTTATTCTTGGGATCCCATCTTCATATTACATCAAAATTTAGGGAATTGAAAAAGCTTGATATTAATTTTTAAAAAGTCCAATGTGTCGCATTTCGAGAAAAAATCAAATATATTTTTAAAATCGTTTTTTATAACCAAAAAATTTTGTCTCGCTTTCGAGACCATTTTTATCGTAAAGCTTGGAAAAAATGCTATACAATATGTTGATTATCAATAAAAAAAAATGAATATTTCGACGTCTTTTAAGCGCACGAGAAAAATAAATAAATTTTCAGGCCCCTGTATCTCTGCAACCAGCTAATCCTTTTTGCCCCCCATTTTGGAAATTAAGGTAGTCCAATAGGACAATGATTTGGCAAAGTTTTGTTAAATTCGGAGAAAACATAATTTTTAGGTGGGAAACTTGAGTTGTTTTGCCCCATATAAATAAAACAATTCCAGAGGGATTTGTTTAGGCACATCTTTTGGGGTGGGCATAGGGAATTTCTAAAGTTTGCCTATTTTATTAAAAATTTATTTAAGTTATTTTATACGTGAGGTTGGGACAGTTGAAATTTTCAAATAAAAATTTCAACTTTAAAAGTTTCAAACTTGAAATATTTCATTTAGTTTAAAAGTGAAATTTTTAAAAATTTCAAATGAAATTTTCAATTCGAAAATTTCAACATTGCCTGTGAAACTTTCAGAAATTTAATTGAAAGTTTCGCAATTTACTGAAAATTTCGCATAAATTTCACATGCGGCCTCCCCTGGGACCTTTAATAATAATTTACAACAGATTCCGTATCGACCAATAAGAGCGAGTTATCAAGCGTCTGGGCGTTTTTGTATAGTTCAGCTTGGATTTGAATACACTATAAGTAATTA